CTTAACCTCATTTTATCATTCTTCCACCTCTCTCTCTCTCTTTATATATATATATTTTACTCTTTTTTTCATTATTTTTTTCAATAACTCATTTCAAATCTATTAACGTCAATATTGTAATTTCCTCTCCTTATATAGTTAAGAGGTCATAAGAATAAAATTTATAGATTATTTCATCCATATTAACGATATTTTCTAATGATTTATATAATTTAGTGAAAATAAATAAGAATTTAACAAAGCAATAATATAAGAGAATAATAGAATATTATTATAATTATTTATTAATTAATAAAATATATGTTTAACCTTCGCTTGACAAGATGCCCACCTAGGGTGGGCCAGACAAATTGAAATTGCCATATCTTCTAAAGTTTTGCCTTAACTGAATCGCGATTTTAAGTCACTGAACAAAATCTTAAGAACTTTCAAAAAATGTAAAAACAAATTTAAAAAAAAAATTTCTTCTTGATTATTTATAACTTTTATCAATGTATGTACGGAGATAACCGGGATGATTCAGATATTTTTTTAATTCTATTTTACAAAAAGACTTGAAATCATGCAGACTTTTCACTGTGAGTGTTTTATGATGTCAAATAATAGATATAAAAAATATTATATTGCATTTTTCATTTGTTTAAACAATTTATTGTTATTATTTATTAACTTTCTTTGTTCTGCACCTAGAAAGATGCAGTTTTTTTTCTAATTTTGCAATTTATCAAGCGGAATATAATAAAAGATAGATTTGATGTAAAATTATTAATTCAACAATTGTTTAAACAATTATTGTTATTATTTACTAACTTTTTTTTGTTCTGCACCTAGAAAGATGCAGTTTTTTTCTAATTTTGCAATTTATCAAGCCGAATATAATAAAAGATAGATTTGAATTAAAATTTTTAATTCAACAATTGTTTAAACAAATAAAGTTAATAAATAACAACAATAAATTGTTTAAACAATCGTTTGAATACTAAATTCATATAAAATCTTCATGTTTATTATGTTGAGCTTGTTAAGTTGCAAAATTAGAAAAAATTGCAACTTTCTTGGAATATTATAAAGAATGTTAATAAATAGCAACAATTATTTGTTTAAACAATTTATAATAATAGTTGTTGCAAATTGAATTATATATTTTATTTTATTTATAACCTTTGAATTAATAACTACGAAGAAAAGGTAACAAATTTATAAAATTCTTCTACTGTCGTATGTTTATTTGAAAAAGTTATAAATTATTAATAATAAATTGTTTAAATAAATAAAAAATCAACAAAACATTAATAAAATATATTATTTGGTAACATATAACAATTTTGGAAAAAAACTGAATGATTCTAAGTTTTTATTGCAATATACAAAGAAGAAAACATTTGGCCCACCCTGGGTGGGATCTTGTCAACCGTGTATATAAAAAGTATCCAGTCCGGCGAAGGTTAATTTTAGATCAACAAACAATTTTTAACCAAATCACAGAAAATTAAAAGGCATTAAAATAAGTTGCAACGCTTATTATTTTAATCTAATTTTGCTTATTTTAATACCAAAATGAATTAAAATAAGGAAAATTGGATGAAAATAATAAGCATTGCAGCTTATTTTAATGCCTTTTAATTTTCTGCGATATCTAAATATGTATTAATTATTCATGAATTGTAATAATAGAAATATAGCTTTACTGTCTGACTTGTAAAATATAACAAAAATAAGATATAAATAATAAATGTCAATAATAATGGAAAATCAATGGCATATTATATACATTGAAATAGAAATTTTATTTTAAGATATGAGAGAAATTAAATTAGATTTGATAGTAACTTGTGATCTTAATTTAAAAATGTAACTTGAGTGTAAAAATAAATTATATATCTAAATTTAAAATCTAAATAATTAAAATAATTCTCTTTTTAAATTATTTATTTTGTATATTATTTAAAAATTTATTTATAATTCTAATTGTCGAGAAAAATATAAATAAATCAATTTTGTTTTCAAAATTTAAATACCATAGAGAAATTCTTCATCATTGCTACCAATTTTCTTTCTGAAGTTTATGGAGAATGAAACTAGTTACATTCTAGTCAAATGATGTAGATATAATTGCTCTTGCTGATGCACGGCAACCGATTAAGGGAGTGCACGCTCGTCGCGATTAACCGATTCGTATTGCGATTAACCACGGAATTCAGGCAATTTATGGTTTCGTAGAAACAAAGATTTTTTTCGAAAAAAAAAAAATAAAATTTATCTCGCGATTTTTATTTAGATAGTGTTAATTAAAAAAAAAATTTTTTGATATTTTAATAACGAACAAAAATTTGGGGAATTTAGTAATAAACATTGTCTAACTATAAATTACTTTTACTACTAATAAATAGTGTTTCATTTTGCCGTCTGACTAAAAATTTATTTTTACTACTTATAGAAAAAAATAGAAAAATTTAACAATTCAGCAATTATTGACAATTAAAAATTGGCTGACTATAATAACTTTCTTTTACTACTTACACCAAATGCAAAGTATAGTAATATCGTTTGGCTGAAATTGGTTTTTACTACTGGAATGAAATTTAGAAATTTTAAAGTAATTCTCTACTGAAACTGACCTTAACTACTGAAAAAGTATGTAGAAAAATATTTCTAGTCTGCTCAAAGACGAGCTTTACTACTAAAATTGAATTGAGAAAAAATGTAGTCTGACTAAAACTGACATTTACTACTTAAACCAAATTTAGGAATATATTTGTAGTCTGACAATAACTGACCTTTACTACTAAAATATTATTGAGAAAAAAATTGCAGTCTGACAGAAACCGATATTCACTACTGAAAAAGCATTTAGAAAAATATTTGTAGTCTGATCAAAGACGACCTTCACTACTGAAATCGAATTTAGACAAAATGGAGTCTGACTAAAACTGACCTTTACTACTGGAACCAAATTTAGGAATATATTTTAAGTCTGACTATAACTGACCTTTACTACTAAAATATTATTCAGAAAAAAATTGTAGTCTAACAGAACCCGATATTTACTACTGAATAAGCATTTAGAAAAAAAATTGTAGTCTGACCAAACACGACTTTTACTACTGAAATCGTATTTGGAAAAAAGTGTATAGTCTGACAGAAACTAATTTTTACTACTGAAAAAGTATTTAAGAAAATATTTGAGGTCTGGCCAAAGACGACCTTTACTACTGAAATCGTATTTAGAAAAAATGTAGTCTGACTAAAACTGACATTTACTACTTAAACCAAATTTAGGAATATATTTGTAGCCTGACTATAACTGACCTTTACTACTAAAATATTATTGAGAAAAAAATTGCAGTCTGACAGAAATTAACCTTTACTACTGAAATTGTATGTAGAAAAAAAGTTGATTCTGACAGAAATTGACCTATACTACTGAAAATAATAATATTTAGAAAAATATTTATAGTCAGAACATAGACGACCTTTACTACTGTAACGATATTTAGAAATATATTTTAAGTCTGACTAAAACTGGCCTTTACTACTGAAATAGTATTTAGAAAAAATATTGTAGTCTGACAAAAACTGACCTTTACTACTAAAATAAAATTCACAATAATTTTGATAAATCTAGACATAATTCACCTCCACTACCGAAAATAAATTTACAATTGGCAAAAATAGTAAATAAAGAGAAAAAAGTAAAAAATAAATAAAACGAAAGTAGAGAAAAAATATTTTAAAAAATTACCCCTCGTTGTGACACTGATCTTTACTATTGAAATAGAATTGAAAATAATTTTGCTAAGTCTGACCGTAACTGACCTCTACTACTGAAACTTAATTTATAAAGGGGAAAAATAAGAAAGAATGAGAAGGAAATACTAATTAAATGAACATAAGAAACTTTTTGTCTGAGTAAAACTGACTTTTACTACTGTTATTAAAATTTAAAACTTGTGTCTGGCCATAAATGACTTTTACTACTCACAGTAAATTTAAAAGATTGTCTGTTTAAAATTGTCTTTCACTTGCAAAAACCAGTAAAACAATTCGCTAAGTCTGACTAAAACTGACTTATACTACTTATATGTAAAAAGAACATCACAAAAACATTAGAAATTTTCTGTTCTAATGACTTTTTTCTGACGTAAACTGTCTTTTACTACTGAATTCGAATTTTCATACATAATATTGAAAATACTTTTTCCATTTTATAATCATTTTTGTTTATTAAACTTTTATCTATTTTGGAGAAAACTCGTAAACTATTGGAAGAACAGTACTTTCTCTTATGATAACATAAGAAATTTGATAATAAATAAAAAAAAATTCTACTAAAAATATTTCCTTTATCAATTGATGTTATTGCGTCGTTCAATAGTAATACGTACAATGTTGACTCTCGTGTCTGACCGAAGGTGGCAGCATTCTACTAAAACTGCTCCATCACTGAAAACACATTTTTTTAAAATCAATAAATATATTTTATAAATTATTATTATTTTTCTTAATTAATTATTTTTTTATTTACTTATTATTTTTCCTTAATTTTTATTAACCACTATCTAAAAATTTATTTCTCCATTTAACAATGCTATTATATTTTTATTATACAGAAAAAAGTGTTACACAAAAAATCTTATAATCTACATATAATATACGATATATATTTATTTATTTCTAAGAAAAAGAAAAATTCACAGAGAAAAATAGATATTACAAAAATTCAGTTAAAATTTAAACAAAACAAATAAATGTTTTGCTTTATTAATGAAAAAAACTATTTTTCTCATATGACTTCATTTCATAACTTTTGTTATGAATAAAATTCCATATGTCATGAACAAAAAAATAAAAGAAAATTATTTTTCAATAAGAAATTCCCTTGACTGAATAAAATTATAGATGAACTGTAGATAAATTAGAATTAAAAAATGTAAGTACAGATAACGTAATTTTTTGAATCAGATATTAAATTTGTGGTGGCTGATAATGTAGACTGTTGTTTCATCTCAAACTGATTCATTGATTTTCTGTTACGTCGACCGTAGCTAACATTTTCTTTTTTTTTTTTTTGAATTTTTTTTTATGCATCTACTTCAGCTTTCATTCTTTCAGTTGTTGCCGATGTACTATCTGTTGTCAATTCTGGTTCACGAATTCCCATCCATTTACAACGTTTTTGTAATTCCAATCGATATCTAAAACAATGTACATTGTCTTAATTTTAATATATGGGTCAAGGCCAATTTAAATATTTAAAATGATATTCTTTTTTTTTGGCAATAATTATAATTTGTTTTTCAATATCGATTTTTTTTTTAATAATAACTTAATGGAAAATGAATCTTTCATAATATTATTAGAATTTCTAAAATTGTAAATTTGTAATGAAACAAACAGTAATTTTATTGGAAATCAAAATAATATTGATATTAATTTATCTGTGTTATTAATAAATAAAAATAGATTATAAATAATAAAAAAAAAATTATGCTTAATTATATTTATCAAAATTTATTTTAATTGAAGATTCAAATAAATTTCGATTTGTTTAAATTAATATTACCTTGGATGATTGATTGCATAAACCCAGGGATCAATGCAGGATACAGTTTTTGCGAATACAGCTGGTATCATTGTCGAAAATGGCGTTAATGTTTCACTGCGATAAAATGAAAAAGAAATTTTAAAAAAATAAATAAAATAAAATAGATAAAAAATTATATTTGCAAAAAAAAAGAAAATAATTTTTATTATTAATAACAAAAAGTAATTTTTCGATTTATATAAAAGAAATGAAATTTAATATAAAATATAAGGGGAATAAAATTTTTTTTTTTTACCGATTTCCAAAAGCTCCAGTCAAAGCAACAACAGCATATGGTGTCCAGGCGCAAACAAATAGGAAAAATATTGTGAATGCAACTTTTGCAATTCGCATTTCAACACTTCTTTCTTTATCTTGATTGGATATAAGTGATTTTACATTCATCTTCTTTGCCTTTTATTTTAGGAAAAAGAAAAAAAAAATTTTTAAATTATATTATAAAATAAAATACAAATTTAAAAAAAAAAATGTTTACAAACCTGTTCACGTAACATTTTTTCATGATGACGTACTGATTTCATTAATTGAGAATAAAAATAAATAATAAGTGTCATTGGAAAAATGTATGACCAAAAGAAAATACTTGCTACAAATACTTTTGTATCGTCATCATCAGTTAGAAAATCAAAACTGCAGGTTGTTAAGAAACCCTCTGAAAAAATAATGATTTTTTAAATTTTAATTACACTATATTTATTTACATTATTATTTATCACAGTACGTCAAATTCTGATTTTTTTTTCAAATAATTAAAAATACAAAAATTCAAAGGCAAGAGAGAATATTTATTTTAATTGCAATTTTATAGCAACATATTTTATTTATTCATTTTCCATTTTCAACTGATATTCTATTTATCTTCTCTTTTTTTTTAATGAATTTTTTAAAAATACATTCTGCACAATAATTAAAATAAACGTAAATCATTAATAATTTTTGTATTATTCGTTCAATAATATTTAATAATAATAATCCAATGAAATATTAAAATAATTTAATATTTAAAAATTTAATATTTTTTTATAATATAAAGAAAAAATAATTTTTAGAAATTTTTTTTGGTTTTTTCTATATATTTTTTTGGTAATAGAAAATTTCACCTGGTACATATCGACCCCAAACTCGAATCCATGGTAGAATAGTAAATGGTAGTGCCCAAAACCATGTCAGTAGAACTATAACGAATGCTTGTTTTCCATTAAGTCGACCATCAATGGGACACGAAATAGTTCTATTCAAAATATTGAATAAAAAAAAAAAAAATTAATGTATCATATTTAAAAAAGTTTTTTAATTTCTAATTTATGAAAATTTTTATTTTAAAATTTGAAAAATATAGAAAATTAATAATATGAAAATAAATTTTTATAACATTTAAAAATAAAGAAAATTAATAATATGAAAATAAATTTTTATAATATTTAAAAAAAAGGGGAGAATAATGTAAAAAAAGCAAAATATTCAAAAATTGAATAAATTTTAAACCTGTAGCGATCAAATGCAATGGCTGCATTGGTAATAGCTTGACCTATTCCAGAAATACTGCCAAGTGCACCATAAATATCACAACCCAATTGCCAACCTAACATTCGTTCCAAAAAACTGTTGGCAATTAGTAATGGCATTTCAAGCATCATCATTAAATCAAAGAGTGATAGATTAATTATAAACATATTCGAAGGCGATCTCAGTGATTTTGACCTACAATAGTGTAAATAATTTAATTATTTTTCTAAAAATATATATATATTTTGGTAAAATTGAAAATTTTGAAAATTATTGATTTTCACATACAATTTCAAAATTAAAACATAAGAAATAAATTATTTCATTAAGATTAGTAATGTATTTTAATTTTACATTTAGAATATATGAATAATAATCACATTTCTATTGTTTCTGTCAAATATTTAAATAATTAAAGATAAAATATATTAATTTGAAAATGAATAAATGATGAATTTATTTATAAAAAAAACTATAGATATTAGAAATTATATTTATCAAATTTTTAATATAATGAATTATTTTAGAATTATTTTTCGTAAAAATCAATATTTTAAAAAATGTTTAAAAAAAAAAAATTTATCTTACGTTGAAAATATCCAAACAACACAGCCATTACCAACAAGTGAAAGGACCATGAGCATAAAATAAATGAGCGCTAAACAAATATGCCAATATCTTTGTGGTGCCAAAAATCCCCTCCAATGTGGATGTACCATATCCGAGTGTTCCGGTGGAACGTTCCATCCTAAAAGTCGATCTTGCATGTGTCTTAAAATAACGAAAAACGAAATAAAAACAAAGTTATTGATTTTCATTGTCACAATTCTCTAATGCTTGCATTTTACATATTTAATACAATTTCTTTTTATATAAAGAGTTGAGAAAAAGTTCAAACCATATTTTTAAAAAAATTACACTATATTATATATATTATATTATATTAATTATTATATTTAATAATTTTTAATTAGAAATTTAAAAATATAAAATTTAATATGAAAAAAAAATGTTAATTCATTATGCAAAATTTTTTGCTAAAGAAAATCGGATTTTTCCAAAAAAAAAAAAAAAAACATCTTCTCGAAACTTACATCGATTCTAAATTTACTTTGAGAAATTATTCATCAATCTATTTTTTTTTATCTTACGATATTATACTTGAGATCAGATACACGTCCATGATGGCGTAAAGTTTAATCTCAATTTTCTTGAAACTTTGATTTTCAAACATCTAACTTCAAAAGCGTCCTGATGCCTGGGGTTTCAATCTAGAGGGTTCGTGCTAAGCTTAAAAGATCGAAATTCATCTCGATATATGACCTCTTACAAAACTTTTGGATTTATATATATTGACAAAAAACAAAATGCAAAAATCACTTGAAAAAAATAATAGAGATGTAGAAAATAAAATGAATTTTTAAACGTGGATTTTTTTTTTCTCCAAAAAATGAATTTCTTTTTAATTTTTACTACTAATATTAAAATAAAAATTAAAATTTTATTTCTATAAAATGGTTATTAATCTACTATTATATTTACAAGAATTTAGAATGTCTGACTTAAATCATTATTTAGTACTGATATATTAAAATTCTAACAAATTTCAAAATATATGACTTGTCGAGACGACTTTATATGTAATATCTAAAAATAAATTAGTCTTTAGAAAAATTAATATTTTATTTCAATATTGAAATATACTGCCTCTTCAAAAAATTTTCAATCTTTTGTGAAATATATTTTTTAAAATTAAAACTCTCTTTTTTTAAAGACAGCGAATTAATTTCGTTTTCAAAAGATTGTAAATTTATTACAATCTGATAATTTATATTTTACAGTTTTCAAAAATATTATCTTAATTATAAATAAAATTCATTAAATTATTATAAAACTCTTTTCATCGAGTTGGTTATTTAAATTCTCATTAATTATTTTTTTTTTAATTTAACATTCACAATTTCAAATGAAAAGTAATTAATAATTTATTATTAAAAACGACCGAGTTATGATGAATTCATTAATAATCTTATATTAAAATGAAAATCAATTTTTAATAAGTTTCGAATTGAAATAAATGTCGATTTATTTAAAGGATTTTTAAAATTTAGTTATTTTGTTCCCTTCTGTCTGATTGAAAATGACTATTATCAGTGATAAACAATATATTGACAATAAATTTTGTAATTTTATTTTTATTTATAAAATTATTAATTTTTTTGCAACTAATGTTGTAAACAAAATTTGATGTTCTACTAATACTGATTTTTACTAATTAGACAAAAATTATTATGAACTTAGGTAAATGCTGTTTCAATATAACTTTTTTTTACATACTGCAACGATATTTAGAAATATATTTTAAGTCTGACTAAAACTGACCTTTACTAGTGAAATCGTATTTCGAAAAAATTTTGTAGTCTGACAGAAATTAACCTTTACTACTGAAATTGTATGTAGAAAAAAATTGAATCTGACTAAAACTGAATTTTACTACTGAAAAAGTATTTAGAAAACTATTTGTAGTCTGCACAAAGACGACCTTTACTACTGAAATCAAATTTAGAAAAAATTGTCTCTGTCTGAAACTGACCTTTACTACTGAAATCAAATTTAGAAAAAAATTGTCTCTGTCTGAAACTGACCTTTACTACTGAAATAGTATTTTAAAAAAAGTTTGTAGTCTGACAGAAACTAAATAAAATAAAATCGTATTTAGAAAAAATTTTGTAGTCTGACAGAAAGTAACCTTTACTACTGAAATTATATTTAGAAAAAAATTGAATCTGACTGAAACTGACTTTTACTACTGAAAATAATAGTATTTAGAAAAATATTTATAGTCGGACCAAAGACGACCTTTACTACTAAACTTATGTTTTAAAAAAATAGAGTCTGTCCAAAACTGGACTTTACTACTGAAATAGTATTTAGAAAAAAGTTTGTAGTCTGACAGAAACTAAATTTTACTACTGAAACCAAATTGAGGAATATATTTTAAGTCCCACTGAAAATGGCTTTTACTACTGAAATCGTATTTAGAAAAAATTTTGTATTCCGACAGGAAGTAGCGTTAATATTGAAATTATATTTAGAAAAAAAATTGAGTCTGACAGAAATTGACCTATACTACTGAAAATAATAATATTTAGAAAAATATTTATTGTCAGACCAAAGACGACCTTTACTACTAAAATTATATTTTAAAAAATGGAGTCTGTCCAAAACTGGACTTTACTACTGAAATAGTATTAAGAAAAAAGTTTGTAGTCTGACAGAAACTAAATTTTGCTACTGAATCGAACTTGAGGAATATATTTTAAGTCCCATTGAAAATGTCTTTTACTACTAAAATCGTATTTAGAAAAAATTTTGTAGTCTGACAGAAATTAACCTTTACTACTGAAATTGTATGTAGAAAAAAATTGAATCTGACTAAAACTGACTTTTACTACTGAAAATAATAGTATTTTGAAAAATATTTATAGTCAGACCAAAGGCGACCTTTACTACTGAAATCAAATTAAAAAAATGGATTCTGCCCAAAACTGGACTGTACTACTGAAAGAGTATTTAGAAATAATTTTGTATTCCGACAGGAAGTAGTGTTAATACTGAAATTGTATTTAGAAAAAAAACTGAGTCTGACAGAAATTGACCTATACTACTGAAAATAATAATATTTAGAAAAACATTTATTGTCAGACCAAAGGCGGCCTTTACTACTGAAATTATATTTTGATAAAATGGAGTGTGTCCAAAACTGGCCTTTACTACTGAAATAGTATTTAGAAAAAAATATTGTAGTCTGACAAAAACTGACCTTTACTACTAAAATAAAATTCAGAATAATTTTGATAGATCTAGACATAATTGACCTCTACTACTGAAAATAAATTTACAATTGTCAAAAATAGTAAATAAAGAGAAAAAAGATAAAAGTAAAAAATAAATAAAACGAAAGTAGAGAAAAAATATTAAAAAATTACCCCTCGGTCTGACACTGATCTTTACTATTGAAAATAATTTTGCTAAGTCTGACCGTAACTGACCTCTACTACTGAAACTTAATTTACAAAGGGGAAAAATAAGAAAGAAAGAGAAGGAAAAAAGAAGAAAAGAGGAATATAAGAAAAATAGGAAAAGAAGAAAAGAAGAGAAAGCGAAAAAAACGAAATTAAAAGTAAAAAAATGAAAATAAAAGGAAAGAAGAAAAAGAAAAATAAAAAAAAAATGAAAATTATGAATTGAGAGGCATTATTAAATGAGGGTAAATATTTGCCTAATTAAAAATGTAAAATAGTGTCTTAGAAAAGGAAAAGTATTTAAAACTAATTGACGGCTAAAATTTTGGGATTAAGTCGAGTAGCGATGTCTGGCTAAGTGGAGCAAATGACTGTAACCTCCCTTGAGTCGGAAGTTCTCGGCAATCACGAAATCCATAGTGCTCTTCCCGGACGCAGTGTTCTTCAATGCTTCCTGCTAAAAGTTTTGCCTTTCTTTGACTCTCTCTCTCTCTCTCTCTCTCTCTCTCTCTCTCTCTCTCTCTCTCTCTCTCTCTCTCTCTCTCTCTCTCTCTCTCTCTCTCTCTCTCTCTCTCTCTCTCTCTCTCTCTCTCTTTCTCTCCCTTTTTCTCTGTCTCTCTTTCTCTTCACTTCCGTTCAGAAAGCTTTCTTCCATCACCCCTTTTTCGTTTATATATATATATATATACACACTCTTTTCTCATGTTCCACAACACAATACAAGGTGATTATCAAAGAAATGATCAAGTGTACCTACCCAGCATCACCGACAATGGCCATCGGCAGCAACATGGCGCTTTCATTGAAGAACATTCTTGCCCTGTATTCGAGTTTATCACCGTTCAATCGATAATTGGAAGTTCAACTGTTGTTAACGAACGTTCCGAATCTAATTGGACTATTGCTAGTTACTTGATTGTTCGCGTTTTTGGTGTCTACCACTTTTCATCGAGTGGTTTCAAACCTTTCTTTGCGTCACTATATATATATATGTAGTCAAAGAACAATGAATTCGTAAACGTGAAAAAAAGTTGTTTTTTTTTCTTCAAAAGTTATAATCGTTCTTTCAAAAATTTACTTTTGGAAAAATTGATTTTAAAAAAAAACTATAGAGAGAGAAGAAAGATTTTATATATATTTTTTTTTTTGAAGTGAGACGCGGTGCGAAAGTTGGGAAATACGTTCCGCAACTCACTTGAATCCGAGAATTTCTTTTATTCTCCTTTTATATGGACATACCAAGAATGTGGATGGCGTGCAAGTTGAGAATTTAATTCAATTTGTAAATCGTGGAAACCCTTTATTTAGCTGATGTTAGGTGGTCACGCGATTTAATATCACATGTATTCGTCTTTTTTTTTTTTTTTTTGTTTTGTTTTTCTTTCTTTTTCTAAACTTGACATTTTGCCTTGAAATCTATCCACAATTGTTGGACACCTTTCATGACGAGCAGGTATTCTAATTCTGTTATGCAATTCACGCGTTTACTGTATTGGCAAAAAAAAATACGTCATTTCTGATCTAGTCCCAATCAAAAATTTACTAATGGCGCAGTACTGGCGCAGTACTGGCACCTAGTATTGGCGCCAGAGTTGGCGTAACTTGGGGATAATAACATTTTACCAGTATTGGCTGCCAGAGTTGGGACCAGTACTGGTAACCACTACTGGTTCAGTACTGGCCGAGTACTGGTAGTTTTGTAATTTATTGTATACGAAAAGAAAGCTTTAACTTTAACAGAGATAAGTTTCACTGCAATAGTGAAATCTCTGCTCCAGGTAATACTTTTTTTTTTTTTTAAGGAAAAAGTGTGTGAAATTTTTCAGTACCCCAACACAAATTAAATATTAATTAAATTAATCAACTAACTAATTAATATTTCATTATATATAAAATCAAAAACACCAAGAGTTTTTATTTTTTATTAACTATAATAATATATTGCAAATTATTATTTAAAAAATCAAAAAATAAATATAAAAAATATGTTTATTATAAAACCGCAGTTTTGATAATATATAAAAACAGTTCAGTAAAAATAAAATTTGTTTATAAAATAATTCTAATGTATATAATTATAAAATTAGCTATTTAATTATTTTATTATTCACTTTAATTATTATTTGCATTAAAATAAATTTTCGAAAAACTTTTTTAAGAAAATAAAAGTTGTTTTTTTAATTTTTAACAAGTGTTGTCAAGAAAATTTTTTTAAATTTTTATTTTAAAAATTATTAATTTTTTTTTTTATAAAAAATTTTATTTATTTTTAGTTTGATCGTTTAAAATTTTTTTTTTGATTTATTGCATATCTGAAAACAATATTAAAAAAACATGCAAAATGTTTTGGAATTAGTGTCAGGAAACTTTTTGTTTAAATAATTTTATCCACAAAAAAAGTAAAATAAAATATCTTTTAATTTGCAAAAATAAAATCAAAGTGAACAAATTTTTATAAACAAAATATTTAAACAAAAAGATTCATTGGGTTCACTCTAGAACTTTTTGTAAACTAGTATTAATCAAAAAGAAAATCTATTTGAGACAGTATTGGCTCAATATCGGCTCAATACTGGGAGGGTGGTACTGCACCAGTACTGATACAATAAAAATATCAGTTCTGGTTCAGAACAGGCTGACCAGCCTCGGTAGCCAATACCGAACCAGTACTCCGCCAGTAGTTAACTCTGGTATAATACTGAAATTTTTGATTGTGCTTTTATAAATATATTTTTCATTTTACACTTTATTTAATTTCTGTCATTTTTATTTATTTATTTTTTTTATAAATGATACTCTATTTTGGTATTTTAACAAAAAGTTTCTGTAATTTTTATAACTTTTTTTGGCTTATTTGAAAAATTATTAATAAATATAATAATAATAAAATTGATAAATGATGAACGTCATAATCCTCTCTCATTTCGTTATATTTGGGGAAAATGTTATTCTTTCAAATTATTTATGGTATACAAAATTTTAAAATTGAATTCACTTTTCTCTTTGTTCAAGCCTTTAAACTAGAAAACATTGTAAACAATATCAAATTCGCCAAAGGGGTTATTTATAAAATAATGCACACAATATTTTCTTTGTTTAAAATTTTATTTCCACCTGTTTCAAATTACAATGTTGAAAATAATTAATACATCATTTTTATCATAAGTTTGTTTAAAAATTAATTTGTTTATTTATTAATAAATTATGTAATTTTTTTTTTAATTTATTAATAATTGAAAGAAATTGTAAAATTTAATAAAACATTTACAGATGAGTTATTTCAATATTGTAATCAATTGGGATGGACCAAAATAAAAAAGGTTTATAAAAAAAATACTCTCGTTCCATTCAAAGTTTCTCTTTCTCTCTCTCTCTCACTAAAGCCACTAAAAGTCATTCTTTTCAATTGCGTCACTGAAAGCAACAATCGTGAAAAAAAAGAAGTGTACGTGGAAAACTGATTTTTCCTGAATTTCGATTTAAAAAAAGAAAGTTACAATAATAGTGAATTGTTTTTTTTCTGTTTTGCATTTTTTAACTTTGTTTTTTGAAATTTTTCTCAAAACTTGGCTTTTATTTGATTTTTTTCTGTTTACATGAAAATATTGCCTTTATTAGAATTGTTATAGCTTTAAACTGAATTGAAATAAAAAAAAAAATTAAAATAAATATAACTGAAAATTAATTATTTTTTCCATTCTACAGATTTGGAACATGATGATCACTATGCTTATTAATAAATGAAGGTGAACAGTATTTTTTTATTTAATTAAAATTGTGTCACAAAAGAAGAGTAACTCCTTTATTAAAAAGATTTTTTACACTCATTTTTTTCTTTTGTAAAAAAGAAAAAAAATTTCTTTTATAAAAATGAAAATCTTTTGAAATTCCCGAAAAAAAAATGTTTTAAAAACATTTTATTTGTAACATATATTTTTGCAATTTTTTTCTATGTAAAAAGAATTTATAAAATAATAATAGAAAAAAAAAGATGATGATATTTTTTCGATATAAAATAAATAAAAAAGAAATTGTAGTATTAAAAAAAAGTTATTAACGAGATTTAAAATTATTTACTGAATAATGTTTCTCATTTTGAAAAAAAGAAGCATATCGTTTATATTCATAATCTTTGAATTTGTTTACCTTTGTCAAGTATTCGATTTCAAACAAGAGTTCTCTCACTTTTTTAAAATTCAAGAGGCTTCACGATTATTCAAATGTTTCCGAATACATAGTCTTGTTAAAGTTAAATCAATTCCTCTTTTTTTTCTACACAACATGTCTGATTGTGCTACAAGCAGACACTCTATAATCAAAATTAATTGTCTGCGTTAAAATCAAGTTTTTATTAAAAATTTTTTTTTTCAACATTTAATAAAATATTTTTAAGTAAAATTTAAATTGAAAATAAAAAATTAAAAATATTTCATTTTATTTGTTATTCTATTTTTTTTTTTATTTAATACCCGAGAGAATACAAGAAATATATATGAATTATGAACAATATTAAAAAAAATATTGAATAGATTTTATGATTTTAATTTGAAATAATTTATTTACCTTTTTCATTTATCTGCTGATTGATATTTCAAGATATAAAACGACATTAACATTTATTTCAAATATAACCATTAATCATTTTTAAAACCTCGATAAAATCTTGGAATATTTAAAAATATACATTTATAGATAAATAGGTGTGATTTTTAATGTAAAAAGTTCAATTCACGATATGTTTTTTTTAAAAAATGTAAATGAAAGAAATTTAATTTTTCCGATTATTAATTTATTAATTACTTTAACATTTTTATTATTTTTTAGATTAAAGTGAAATTATAATTATTTTTTTACAAAAATAAAAAATTATGAAATATTTTTTTAGAGAAAAATTAATGTGAGAAATTTTTTTTTTTTTTTATAAATTTACTTTTATGTTAAAAGTAATATCCTTCGAGTGTGTAAATTGAGATCAAGAATTGTATTCAGATGAACCCACTGGAGAAAACGTTTCATTTATTCGTTGCGGTCCTGTCTTCGAATCGGTCGCGACAAAGGGAAATCGAGCGAGTTGAAAAACGTGGTATAACGTCGATTTCGTGAAATTCTTTGGAAAAATCTCCATAATTTGGGAAATTGCCTTTTGATGTTACAGATGAAAGAGCCTGAGGCTGAGTGGCAGTATGCCACATCTTTTTCTCTCTCAAGCTCTCTTATAACAGTTTCTTTTGTTCCATCGTTCGATGCGATTCTTAACCCCCCGCCCCCCCCCCTTCTACATACAAAAAAAAAGAGAAAAGAAAAAAAAATTGGACAACTTTATTACATACATATATATATATATATTAAAGATCACAAATGATAAAAAGCTCCTTGTCCTTCGAAAATGATAACTCTTTATCGCCTTATAGATAGCTTTTAGTAGCTTTGGATTAAATTCTTTTTTTTTTTTTTTTGAAATCCCCTCCCCCCTATTTTTTTTTTGCTTTCACACTCACTCTTTTATTCTAGAATCTTCGAACCGTTTCAACCTCGCGGGTTTCTTTTTTCATCGCATCGATGCAATTACGACCCTCTCGGGAACAATGTGAGATATCTCATTCACTAGAAGTACTGACGATCTTTACGTAATGCAGTTTCCGCGGCACAAATTTCATCCTATTTCCCAATGGATGCATAGCTGATATTTCTTCATGCGATTTTTTTTTTATTAAAAAGAAATAATAATGAAAAAAATTAGGTTTTTGAATATTTGCATATAAACATAAAAAAAATATACATACGTTTAATAGAAAAATTTATAACGTATTTCAGTATGGAATTGAGGATTAATTAAATTTTTGAAGAAAAACAAAATTTATTTTTATAATAAAAAGGCCTTACATAAAAAAAAATGACAGTAGAATTATAAAAGAATTTAATTACTTTTTTTAAACTGAAAATATATATTTTTTGGTATTATTTTTTTTGTATTTTTGTAATTATTTGAAATTCAATTTTTTAATAGAAATATTCAAATTGTCTGACTTCATAGGGTTTTTTCCACTAAGAAAATATTATGTTTTATCAAAATATATGCTTTCATTTAGAAATTCAATTTGTCTGACTTGAAACGATTTTTCTACTTAAAAAATGTTTTTTTTTTCTTCAACTTGTCTGACTCTACGAGTTTTTTTCTACTTGAAAGTTGTATATAATCGTGTTAAAA